ATGCTTATTGAAGGTGGCTATTTGTATAGTCGTTTCACCGTGTTTGCAATGAGAAGTGCTGATTATCCTAATTATGCTTTTCTCTTTTGCGGTTGGGGTAAGTCAGTGATCGATTGAAGTTAGAATTTGGCGGTTAGCACCGGGGATCCGGGTGCTCAAAGTTTAAGGGAGTTTAAATCTGTGTCCAGCATGAAGTTGTACTTCATGTATAAAAAAGAGCTCACTAGATTACTGATTATTCTTGATAATAATAACAATGGATATCAGTTGATAACATCAACCTTGATCCAACAGTACTGACTTGTTTCTAATTTTTTTAGATGATTTCGACACATTCAATTACCATTATGATGATGAGTTAAATAAGTCACTTGTGCAAATTGTATTATCCACAAATCCATGAGGATAAGATTGATAAACTGAACAAAACAAGGAGGTATAAAAAAGAATTACAGGTGTACCGTTCGCTGTTGTTGTCAGTTGGACTATTATCCATCAGAAACGATCAAGTCAAAATCAAAATTCATTTTGTTGGTTGCCATATGCACAAGGCGCTCATCTATGGATATTATCCGCGACGATGGGCTTAGCATTAATTGTTCATTTTAAGCCATACTTGTGGCATACCATCATTTGAATATTTCATATCCATTCCAGTTTATCCTTTTTCTTTTTTTAAACATTTATTCACTTCTTTTCAGTTGAATTTATTATTCCTGTTGGGTATTGTTCTCATATTAGTGCAAAAGTTGCGCGCTGAAAATACTGCTGAATCGAAGAAAATCTGGTTATTCTTCGCATGACTAATATTTGGTGTCTTGTAAAGTCTAACTGAGATTTTATTAGGGTTACTCGAAATTCTGAATAGTATTTCTTGCTGGAAATGAACTGTCCACTTGGGATCATCGTGTCCTTTTTCGCATTTTGGATATCAGTTGAACACATGCTTGAAACCGCTCCGTTTGACTGATCTATTTAACCGAGAAACGAATTCCACATGTTATTTCAACGAAATAAATTAAACAGTTTCCGACTGGTACGGTTTGTTGAGGAAACTTAATTTGGTTATCAGTTTTTTTTAATATTCATTTTAGGAGGACGGTGAAGTCGACACTTTTATTGGTGCCACTTCTAGGTGTTTCCAATATACCCTTATTCTATGAGCCATCACAGCCCAGCAGTGTTTACATGCTTGGCTCTGCTATTTTACAACATTCTCAGGTTATTTTTCAGATAGCTTGCTAAACTAATAATATAACCGAACACAGTTGCTCTACCCAGATAATCCCTCAAAATCCTTTTAGAATCAAGTTAGATCTAGGAACTGGTTTGGCCAAATCCTGGTTATTAATATTTTTGTCTCTTTTGTGCTTGAATTTACAACAAATATTTCATATTTTTGAATTAAAAAAATCTTGCATTTTAAAGGGCATATTTATTGCTGTATTATACTGCTTTTTGAATGGTGAAGTGCAAAATGCGATGAAACGGCAATTATTAAAGCTGAAAATGCATATTTTAAGGTAATCAGCTACAGACAAGTCAATAATTTTCACCTTTTTGGTAACCGGATATGGTTTGTGAACCGTATGGTTTATGTAATATAATAATTTATACAATTTTTGTAACCAAATAACTGATTGTAATTCCTTTGACAGATCATATGTTTTCAGCGAACCACGCTTTGAAATAGAACGAAGCTATATTCCACATGAGATAAATAAATTGGACAGTAAACTGGGTATGCCTATGGGAAAGCTGAATAATACAGATGGCTGAAAAGACCTCACAATTCTCATTAGAAGGTTTGTTCAGGAAATTGATCAAGTGATCTAACTATGACACGGTGATCTAATCAAGTCATTTTATCGCTTTTGTTGTTGTTAAGCAATGCAAACAATAGGTATTCAAGATAAGTACTCAGACAAACCACAGCAAAAAGATAAAACGCTTATTGGAATATCATAATTAGAAATCTTGAATTAGAAATTCTCAGATTTTGAGCTACTTGTCAGAAATTTCAGAATATTGTTGGCTGGTGAAATTCGCTCTAATACTTCGGCTTATATTTAAGGATAGCCTACTAATTGGAATTAGTGAAACAAACTGACTAAATGCTTTTAGCAAATTTTATGACACCTGCTTTCAATAAAAAGCAGTCTGGAGAAACGTTATTCGAGCTCAACATGATTTTTGAATCTAAACGATGAAAGTTCTACTGCGAATATTCACAAAACTATGCATGTTTTGCACGAAACAACATCCTATTTGTTTTATTATCTGATAATTTCACTGAAATAAATAAGATGTTATTTGAAATACTGCTAAAAGCAAATTACCATTTTTTTTCTTGAACAATTACTCATTAAAAAATAATTTAGGATGACGATATTCTGACTTATCATCTTTCTTGAGACGGATTCTTGAAGGCGGGTATTTTAAGGAAAAGAAATTGAGGTGTTGCAAGCTGCAAGCTTAGTATTTCTATAGTACAGTGGTGAATGTGCCGTAACAATATTAAACGGATTTTTGGGATGGGGCAACATAATAAACAGATAAGTTGTTGACGACAAAAGTGCTAAATGAAGCAGTAACAAACACATTGTGGCTCTTATTTGCTTAGTAAAACTCGGCGAGGACTGTCATACAAAACAGATTGTGCACAAATTCAATTATGGATATTAGCAATGTATGTGAAGGGGGACTTTGTGACTTCCTGACTGATCTTTCCGTATTTTTTTCCTTTTTTTTGATTTGACTATTACTTAGATAAAAAAATGATTTTCCCCACGATAGTAAAAATTTGCTGTCACATAAATTGGATCGCCACATATATGAATGAATGCGAAGAATGCAGTTCTGATGTTGAACAACATAAATACTACATCTGTCCACTTTATATCAATTATGTCCAGTCTTTTTCATTCTTTCGTACAATTCTTGAAAAATCTTCAATAGAAAAATCACACTATCACGTCTAGATTGAGATTTGCTGAATTTGCTGATCCATTCTAGTACTTGCTTTTTCTCTTTTTATTTTCAAATTCAAAAAGACCAATCGGAAAATCGGTTGCTCAATACTTTTATTTTCTCCTGGATGCTAAGTCTTCAAACTATTTATTGGATTTTGAAAAATTAATGGAGGATTGCTGGCGGTTATTTGCAGTTGCAGTAATATTTATAAATGTTTCATCGTTGTGGTCACTTGAAAAAACAGTCACACCGTCATATTTCATTCCAAGGTTACTGACTTGCTATGATTAAACGATATTCCCAA